TATGTCTGATAGCCAGGACAAATAAAAGCAACACGCCGATACCAGAGGCAAGCGGAACACATATGAATATGTGGTTAGGCAAATATTTTACGAAGTGCAATCAACCTACCAACACGTGCAGTGTCTGCAGTCTGCAGTCTGTACGGCTTTTGCGACCGCAACATGTTACTGTAATGAGCTACACCAAGCTATTACATGAAGGTACTATATAGTACCTTCATGTAGTACCTTCATATAGTACCTTCATGTACCTACTATATAGTACCTTATATATATATATATAGTACCTTCATGTAATAGCATACATATATAGCGTACTCTTCATGTACTATATAGACACCCCTCAGAGACATCGATGATAGTACTATGTTTATAGTATAGAGACAGCAATGATGTACTATATAGAGACTATATAGTCTCTGAGGGTGTTCTATATAGCAGTATATAGTACTATATATTACACCCTCAGAGACAGATAGACATCATCTGTACTATATAGTACCTTTTGTGTAATTAGTTTACCAGTTCGATTATTTGCAAATATGATGGCCGGGCACTCGTACTAGAGTTAGATTCTTTCATTTATTTTTTATTGGGGTAAATATTACTTTTTTTCCAATGCATTTTTTAGGTTTAGCAGGTATGCCTATAATTTTCCAGAATTTAATCGAATTTTAGCATATTTATTATTAACTTTTTGAATTAGTTGTGCTGATGTTCCAGTACTATATAGTATATACTATGACCCCTAGACACCCTCAGAGACAGCGATGATGTACTATATGTACTATATAGTAGTATGATGTACTATATCGCTGTCTCTGAGGGTGTCTAGGGGTACTGTACTATATAGTACACCCTAGACACCCTCAGAGACAGCGATGTACTATATAGTACATCTATAGTACTATATTGTACATCTATAGTACGATGATGTACTATATAGACAGCGATGATGTACTATATATACTACTATATAGTATATAGTACATCATCGCTGTCTCTGAGGGTGTCTAGGGGTACTGTCGATGCCTTATTAGGGGTAGGATGAGTGGACGATGCGGCAGGAGGATACACCCCGTCCGCTAGGGCATTGGTCGTTCGACAGTCCATTTTTCGAAATTGCCACGCTGGATTGAAGTGATGGCGCGGAAATAGTTTCAGCTTGTGAGCGAGGACGGCAACGCGCTGACATCGGCTGCTGCTGTCATCGTGGATATTGAAGATGTTGATGCTTTGCGTCATGCGGTAAAGGAGGTGTTTAAAGACAGTCACAATATCGTCCGCTGGTAGAGTTGGGATTGGAACTGGGTCTCCCTCAGCAAATTTGCACGTATCAGGATCATACTCATACACAGTTGGCGTTGGCGGAACATCAAATTGTTATCAATTTAACGTACAAGGAAATATTTGGAGCAATCTTGGATTAGGCCCGGTTAGTGGCACGGTCTCTGCCATATTCTCGTCTTCAATTTTCTGTGTGCAATCCATAAACAAAAGTTCTGATAGACGACTCAAGGAGAATATAACATCTATTTCAATAAGCTTGGAAT